TTTTTTTTTTAGAAAATTTTACCGTGCGCTTCAGGACTAAAGATGATAAATCATCCAACTCTTTCGGAAGTCGTGACACACACGACGTGTCGTGCCTAGGGAAAATGATCCATCGTTAGGATTTTCTTAGACCACAGAAGGAGAGTCTTGATAAGATTTCTTAATAACCCTATAACGGTTATTTCAATTACTAATCTGGCCAAAGTTAAAAGAAATCCGGCCAAAGTTAAATCAATTTGCGCGGATGAGTCTTCGATTATTCCGTGCAGTGTATTTTGGTGGCGCGAGGGCATAATAAATTGGATGAAATGGGAACGAAAAGTGATTAGTAAGCAAGCGACGTGTTACGTGACTTGATTGATTCGTGATCGGAGTTCGTTAACTCGAAATAACGCTTTTCCGAGCAATTATAATTTTCAATATCTTTGACACGGCTAATTACAAAGGTGTCACTTTCGTCATTCTGAACTGTAGAATGAGAAAGAAATAGAAGAATACAATTAATTAATAAAAAATTTTCTCTCTCTCTCTCTCTCTTACCTTCCCTTAATGAGGAGGAAAAAGAAAGAGTAAAAGTTATCGTCAGCCATGTCATCGGTGAAACGCGAATCGAAAGGAAAAAAAAGAAACAAGAAAAATCATGATGAATCGCTTACGGATTCGAGGAGCGTGTCATCGCATCGATCGAAGCCGAAAGGACCTGAGATCCACACAGTAGCCTGCATGAATTATAGACGTCCCAAAGTCAAATCTCTCGCGCACACACCTGTAAAATTCCGCGCGCGCACGAGCTTAAGTACGTGATACGGTACTCGGTGAATCCTGGCCGAATTTCAAACGGCGGACGAAGAGCCCCTCTGTTCCTCGAACAGCGGGGGCCGATACTCGAGAATTTCGATCCGATCGATTATTTATCGAATATACTCTTTCCGTGAAATCGGGTTCCCGATGGAACGCGCGCGCGAGGAATTCTTCGAACGAGACTTTCGAGCGGACGCTTGATAATTATTCGCGATAAGTTCATTTACGTTTGTCCCAGCGCCAGGACATATTTCTTGATTAGTTATTTTTCCAAAACGAGTTATCTAAACGAGTACCTTGAACTGCTT